AGGTATGCTCGATCCATCAATCCAATTGTCATGCAAAAAGAATGAATAGGTCCCATCCATAACCACAAGAGAAGACAAGGCCCTGAAGGTGGCCGTGTCTTCGTCTGAGACAGAGAGGTCAACAACAGACCAGGGGATGTGATTGGAGGTTTTTGCCATCCGAAGCCACTTAGTGTGAAGCGCACCGTTGATGTTCTTCGGATTGTGCATACCTAGCCCCCAAGGTGCAAAGGGGTGCACACGTTCTTCCAAGGGACCAAACATTGCCCTCCCTTGGTGCAATACGAGTTTGCCCATAAAAATCCGTGAAGGATTTTGTCCGCCGCCTTGAGGACCCATGGTGGAACATCAAGAGCAAGCATGTGGTAAACTCCCAGCACAGTGAGATCCAAGTTCATGAGGAAGATGCGCCCGGTAGTGGGGATCATGACCGTCTTCCAGGCCGGGAGCTTGTTGGAAAATAATTCCACAAGGGGTAAGAGGTCAGCCTTGTGGAGCCATGAGTGGGACATCGAGAGGCCCAGATAATTAATCTGGAAGGAGGAAACTAGGCAAGGGAATTTCGCGGAGAGGCATTGTATGTCTATTCCTTGGCAGCGAATGGGAACCAACGCGCTCTTAGAAAGACTAACCTTCAAAGCTGAAGCATTTTTGAAGATCTCAAGGAGGAAGCGGGCACCGACCAGATCATGCGTAGATTAGTCATAGGAAGAGTGCCACATCGTCTGCAAATAGGAAGCACAATGCTTAATGCCCCAATGGAAGAGGGGTAGGAAGATCCCCTCCCGATTGAACTTCCGGAGGAGAGCATCGAGCATACCAATAACAATAACGAAAAGCATAGGGGAGATATGGGGTCACCTTGCCGCAGGCTGCGATCATGCACAATAGGGCTGAAAGGGCTACCATTGATCAGAACCTACGAGGAGGAGGTGCGGAGAAGGGTCGCAATTATGGAAATACACTTGTAGCCAAAACCCCTATGACGAAGCACCTCCAAGAAGAAAGGCCAAGCCACCGAGTTGAATGCTTTCGAACTATCAAGCTTAAGCAAGATCGATGGTATTTTCTTCAGGTGGAGGAGCTTCACGGATTGTTGAACTAAGAAGAAATTATCTAGGATCACCCTGCCTTTGACGAAGGCGATTTAATTGGCGTAGATGAGCTCAGCCAAACAAGGTGCAAACCGATTTGATAAGACTTTGACGAGGAGCTTGGGAAGCTATGAACGAGGCTAATCAGTTGAAAGTCGCCCAAATCCATAGCTGCATCTCACTTGGGGAGGAGGACCAGGGAGGCCCGGTTGAGCAGGTGGAGGGAATTGCCAACAAGGCAAAATCACAGGTCAATAGCAGCGATAACATCGGATTTGATGATCTGCCAAAACTTTTGGTAGAACGGTGTCGAGAATGCGTTAGGGCCCGGTGCCCTGTCCGTCGGAGGTCCTTAATGGCATATTCCAGACTTCCAGAACAAAGAAGGGAAGGTCGAGTTCGGTCAACATAGCTTGGGAAGCTATGAACGAGGCTAATCGGTTGAAAGTCGCCCAAATTCATAGCCGCATCTCACTTGGGGAGGAGGACCAGGGAGGCCTGGTTGAGCAGGTGGAGCCAACAAGGTAAAATCACAGGTCAATAGCGGTGATAACACCAGATTTGATGATCTGCCAAAACTTTTGGTAGAATGGTGTCGAGAATGCGTTAGGGCCCGGTGCCCTGTCTGCCGGAGGTCCTTAATGGCATATTCTAGATTTCCAGAACGAAGAAGGGAAGGCCGAGTTCGGTCAATGCCGTGGGAAGGGGGCGGTACAGGGATCAACAGCGTGTGGGCGGGAGACGCGGGTGCCAAAATCTCCTCATAGTAAGACTTGGCCAAAGCCTCCGTATCTTATTGAGGAAGCAGCATCGCTGCGGTGCTGAAGGTGTGAGAATATTCCTCCATTTACTAACCTAGATGTGGCAAAAATGGGAATTGGCCACGTTCCTGCAACCAGTGAATGCGAGATCTCTGCCAGCAATCCTGTGCTCCAGCGATGCGAGGTTCAGGGCTTTCCTCTTCATCTCAAAACGTAGCCAGTCTTCCGCTGCAGGGAGGGGGAGGTTGTCATATGCCTGATTGAACGAAAGGGCTAGTTCCTTCCTGCACAGGAGCTACGCAAGAATATTACCCACTTTAGATTGGCTCCACCTTTGCAGGGATTTGGCCAATCACTAGTCAGGCTCTATCCACTGGGATGAGATGTACCGTGACAACCTCCTCTCAGCCCTCTCCTCGGTTGCCTCTGATCACTACCCTATTCTTATGTCTATGGATGTTGGATTCCGCTGCAAAGGAAGATTCAGATTCGAGAGCGAAGCAGCATCCTGATGTGGGTTGAAGGCCATGGCGTCCCATGTCTACATGGTTGTGGTGGTGTCCTGAGAAGACGGTCGTGGTAGCAGCAGCGACAATGATGCCGACTGATTTGGGGATAGGCGTTCCACGGGAGATTGGTGCTCAGGTCAGCCCATGATGGCTTGATCTTGTGGTCCACTGACGCTGACGAAGCTAGGGTTTGACGAGGGCCTGCTGGATGGGAACATGCTCAAGTTGCCCGTCCAGTACAAGGATACGTGCATGTTACTTGCCTAGATATGCTCCTTCTGGCCATCCAACATCTTATCCCTATCCCAACTCTCGGGGTGAGTCTCAAATCAGCACCCATCTCCTTCCCTAGCCTGCTAGTCGACCGGGGCGGTAGTTGAATTTGCATATCGAATGCTAGGAATTTGGTCGAGGCAACAAATGAAGTTGGGCATCTCACTGGCAGGGTAGCTGGGGAGGGGTGCCAACAATGAAAACTATACAACCACGGGTAGGAGGGAAGTTGCATATCGACTGCTAAGCAATTAACAGGGGTAGCAGACGAAGTTGTACATCTCACTGGTAGGGTAGTTGAGGCAGAGTGCCAGGTGAAAACTGCACATCCACGGCTAGAGGGAAAAGTTGCACACTTAGTGATGCACAGTTGGCTGAGGACAATGAACAAAGTCGCACTTCTCACTAGTAGGGGTAGTTTGGGCTAGGTGCGAGCAGTGAAAACTACACATCTAGGGGAACAGGGGGAAATTGCACATCAACTGTTAGACAGTTGCCAGGGCAACATACGGGGTTCCACATCACAGGAAGCTGGTCACCATGGTTGCTAAGTTGCAACCTCACAGGAAGTTGGTTCATGTAGCACTAAAGTTACAACATGTAGAGTTGGCTCTCGTAGCACCAAAGTTGGTTTCAAAAAGTTGCATCCTTCATTACTAAATTTGGCTCCGTAACACCAAAATTGGTTTGGAGAAATGTTGGTCGAAACATATACAAATGGGGCCTAGTTTCAAAGAGCCCATGGATTGATTCCAAAGACAGAAACAACATGAATTACAGGCACAACAAAAAATCACATTTACTGTAGGGAGCTAGGCGGGGCTAACACGTGTGGGAGGACCAGGTGGTGTAGTTGGTGGCAAATTTCCATTTTTATCTCATGGGGACCACGCGGGGGACAAGTTTCCTTTTCTGGGCGTGCGCCATGGACCGCTTGTTAGATGCCTCCTTAGTCTTTCCCATATTTTGAGTCGACTATAATTTTGTTCCTAAATTGGTTAAGAAAAAAATGGAAATAACTGACAAAAAAGGGAAAAATCACATCATGGCATCGAGGATCCACACCCTCTACTCGCATGAGATCGCATCATCTAACAAGATCACGTCGTAACGCGTGAAATCCAATGTTTTAAGGCAGTAAGGCGAGGCAAGGCGCTGGGGGTGCCTCACCGCCTATGCGCTAAGGCATAAGGCAAGCGACGCCTTAGAGGGTTCTAAGCAGCTGAATAGAGTATAATTTGGTAGGGGTGAGGTAAAACCAATGCTGACCTAGAGAAGAGGAGCTGAGGAGGATCTGCCAGAGAGGAGGGGAGAAGCTACAAGAGAGGAGGGGGAGGAGGATCTACTGAAGAGGAGGGGGATCCGCCTGAGAGGAGAAGCTGTCGAGGTGGGGCAGATTCGATTTGCAGCTCCAGCCGCCACCAAAGGTTCAGGTGGGGGAAAACTGGTTCGATCTCTCTGATTCCCCTGCTCGTAACTGTTGGCACGCGAGAGCCTCTGGTTCCGCCCAAGACTCTGTTTCCCGCCTAAAGCCCTTGCCCCTACCCGAGGCATCCAGATTTGCCTAGGTGGACGACTTGGACGCCCTATGACCTAAGGCAGACGCCTTAAGCATGTGTATAAGGCAAGGTCGACGCCCCCCCTAGGCGACGCCTTAGGGACGACTTAAAACCAACTGTGAGATCTATCCTAATATCCACTACTACTAGCATGACGATGAATTCTCTAGCCACCCCGCCACTCGAGCCGTACCGGAACCCTCCCCACCATCTGACATTAAACACATATGTAAGAAAAAGGGTCTTGGGGCTTACCAGGGGTCACGTGTGAGCGGCAATGCTTGGGCAGTCGATCCCCTTTCTCCTCCCTCATGGCTCTAGCTCGACGGTCCCGTGCGTTCTTGTTGGGCACCTCCCGCGACTCAGCCTGGGCATTTGGTATAAACCAAACTTCGGTTAGTAAATTTTGGTGTTTTTATATTTCCTTTTTCGATTTGGTTTTCAGTTTATACCGAAAGGGTAGCCTGCGTTGGGCTCGCCAAGGATTTGGATGCCCTTCCACGAATGGCACCACGTCCTATTAAATAGCCAAGCGCCCGACCCCATTTTGCGTAGCCAGGCGATGTGGGACTAATCACTAAACGAAACAAGCCCCATGGGTAACCTCCTCATGGAGGTGGTGAGGTTACCAGCACACTAGGCAGGCAGAACAAACCAAAGACACACAAATAGATATCATATAAACATAAGTTTAAACCAAATCAAGCAATTCTCAACATAGCATGACACTTAGACTAAGCAGTTTTTAACCGAACCAGTACGACATAGTCCTAACCAAACTAGCATGTGCAACAAAGAGGTCTCCTAGACGTTCACGGCGAAGGCGTTGTCGTGCCTCCCGCACTTGGTCACCACTTCAATGACGTCGTCGTTGAAGACGGTCAGCTTCGGGGTGTCGGTAACCAGCAACTTGAAGGTCACCATGAACCGGATCTTGATCTGGTGGACGACGGCGAAGGGGGCCCAACCCCGATCGAGGGTGACTCGGTCGTTCATCAGCCGGACAGTGACCCTCCGTCCGCAGTCGGTGTTTGTCTTCAGCTTGAGCTCCGTCCGCACGGCGGGGAAGTGCTTTGTGAAGTCCAGGGGCATAGGCAGGCACTCCATCTTCGGGGCAAGGATCATCTTGCAGAAGTAAGTTGGCCCAACCTCATGGTAGTGCCCATAGTTCTGGCACTTGTCGTTGTGGGGCTCCTCCACCACCACATCCTCGTCCGTGAGCGGCACCTCGTCCAAGGGCGGCACCACCTCCTCGCCCTTCTCCATTGCCGACACCACCTCCTCGCCCTTCTCCATTGCCGACACCACCTCCTCGCCCTTCTCCATTGCCGACACCACCTCCTCGCCCTTCTCCATTGCCGACACCACCTCCTTGCCCTTGTTCTCCGTCTCGATCTGCATTATGAACAACACAAAGTTCAAAGGTTGTTCGGTATTAAATCCTATCGCCCAAGCCCCTATATTTACCCACCACCGCACTCAATTAACCCTCTATGTCTCTTACTCCTCTACCACCTCTCCATCGCCATGAACTCCAACCCCTTCCCCTGGGGCATTAGATGGAGGGCATTCTTCCTCGCGTGCTCGCTCGGTGACCACACCAAGTTCGAGAACATCATTGAAGTGTGCTCAAACTTCACCAACATCGATGAGGGAGGAGTTGAAGACGCTGATTCCTGACCCAGTGAAGGGCACTATGTCAGTCGACATCCTGCGCTAGGCCATGAATCACGCCGACTCCGAGATGTTGCACGGAGCGCAAGATGGGCCAAGTACAAGGAGTACAGAGCTCCTCAAGACCAGCGTGCCGTAGCGTTCTGGAATAGGACGTTGGTGGCGTCGGAGGTCATCACTTTGGAGCCGGAGGAGGAAGCGGTGGCGATGGTGGTCAGGGCGCCGGAGCTAGCCCACCATAGTATGCGAATAGATCTGGACGGCAGTGAGGATGACGAGACAGTGCATGCTACGGTCGAGCTAGAGGACAACTACAAGACCGAGGGGCACCACCGCTCCAAGCGCCTCCAGGGTCGTCGCGGCTAGGATTTAAAGCTACTGTGTAAGATTAACCCCGAATCCCCATTCCCCTTGTACTCAATCCGATCAGAACCCTAAAATCCATCGCTACTTAGTACTCATGAAGAAGTTCTGAACAATCCTATGGCTATTTACCCCGATTCCCCATTCCCCTAGAACACGGATGGATTACGTGGACCGAATCTGAACGCGCATGGATTACACGGACCGAATCTGAACGCGGATCGAATACGAATTGGTATGGGAGGAGATGAAAATAGGGCTTACCGCCACTGCCGAAGTGCTAGGGGTGATGTTTCTGATGCCGGTGATGGAGGCCGGTGGTTGCCTTGCTGTTCTCCAATCCGCTGAACGCCGCCCCCGGTGTGACAGCGGGAGAATGGAGAGAGGGGAGAGAGAGTGGTGAGGATAATTATTGTCGGCGATTAGGGAAACAACGCGAAGTTTCTAGCATGGCTCCTCGCGTGCACCCGCCACCGACCACGTGCATCCCGCGGGCCTGGCCATGGAAAAACTGCCAATTCTGAGGTTCCTAGCGAGCCTGGCTGGTGGTGCTTTAAACATCGTGCGATGCGGGCCAAACAGGCCAAACAATGAACACATGTAACCAAACAGACAATTTTCTTCTCGCGCGGGCCCGGTTGGGCCTAATGCGGGCAAACAAACACGCCCTAGGACAATGCCCGTGCATTGCTATGAGCAAAATGAGTCAACAGAATTTAACAAATGCATCGACCAATAAGTGAAGAATTATTTGATATCATAGTTGAATGTCCATGAATTGAGACAAAATATATATTACTATGATGACCAAAGGCATAAGGAAGACGAAAATCAAGCAAACCCAAGTATTTCCCAAAAAAGAGCTCACAACTTAGAAATTAAAGGAACCGATAACACATCATGATTTTGAACTTGGTTTCCGAACACATGCATGATTTAACTTTTCATCTAAGTATGCTAAGTAATGTAAAATTTATTACCTCCGGAGATCAGCATATTCCGAGACATTAGACAACTCCGGGTGATATGAAATTGAGACAGCCCTAGATGGCATACAACTATGCAATGTTGGCATTGTTCATCCGGTTCTAAATCAGTCTTAACTGAAGCCTGCCTTTGACCAACTTCTCTGCAAATAGACAAATATCGAGAGAAATCAGCGCGACTTCTCAGAAACAAACTACACATAATAGACACAATAGCATCACCTTGCTTGTTAACCCCCTACGAACCTGCCCTCCTTTCCTGAAACCCACAGGAAAAAAACAAAACCAAAATCAGAGACATGTTAGGACGAGATTATCTCACAAAATCTGCACCTAATTGAATAGCAAACAAAGTTGAAAAGATCCATCACACAGATACTGTTCGATGGAAATCCTAGCTATTTTAAGTAGACTGGTAGCAAAAATGTACCAGAACTCATCTCCATGCATGCACCAAAATCAGCTCCAACCAAGGCTAGGTCAGAGCATTAACAGAAACAAATTCCGTGGCAACATTCAACGACAATCATACCAAACTTCTATGGCAAAACCTATCCAAGAGATGACAGATTGTATTTGTGTATTTGGATCTTGCAAGATCAGCGAATCTGCACATATGCTCCATATCAAAAATCTAACGATCCACCAATGCTTCTGTTTCATAAACTTTCTAATGCTTGAACCTATCAGAATCAGACTAAAGCAAAGCACAGTAAGCAATATCGACGACTCGGTAACAATTTCTAAAGGTAACGACCGACTAGTGACACAAAGATCGCCATACCTTAAACACCACGAACTTGGAGGAAGTCTTGGCGAGTCCGGCAGCAAGGCCTCGTCTGCATTTTTTCCAGTCTCCTCATGTGACGCCTTGTCAGCACAAAATCAGCTTGTTTCCTGTCCGGCCAAGTCCAGCGATAATGCCCCATCTGCATACAGGTGGGGAGCATTCTCTTCCTCCATGGACGATTCACCTACATCCCTATCTCGTCCGTTCTCAAGGAGGCAGATCCGGCGTTCCAGATCCACGCCACGGCATCCTCCTCGCTCCCCTCCTGCCCGTCCTCGTAGTGGTACTCCTCGTTGTAGCAGCGGAGCGCCGGACAGTAATCGTCGTCCTCGTCGCTGTCGGGGAGCCGGACAACGAGGCGGAGGGAGGCAGGTCAGCTGGTAGGTGCGGACGCGGGCGAGGTGCCGCGACGAGGGCGCGGAGGTGGTCGATCTGGGCGGCGACGAGCGCCATTTCTCGTAGGCGGAGCGGCAGAACTGGCGCAGCTGCATCTGCGCAGATGCAGTCGGCCGGAGTGGTGATTTCGGGAAGGGCAACCGGCGATCAAGGAGATGAGAGGGAGCGTGGCGATGGATGGGTTGTTGACGGGAAATAACTTGGAGCAATGCTATTCACGAAGTGATTTTACGTAACTTTTTTTTACGTGCTATACTAGTGTCGTCTCACGGCGGCTGGCTAAAATGGTGGGGTGTTATGATTCCAAATAAACTATTGTGTGTCATTGTCTTAATTCACAGCTGTCTACGGTGAATCAACTACTGCTGTACTAGTATGGAATAGCCCTACGACTTGAGCATAACACATCTCCAACTCTGAGTTGCAAAACATTATGGCCGGTGCTAGGCACCGGTCGACCGTACGCCAGCCTAGATCAGTCCCCCTCCCCCGCCACACGATCTGTGTTTTTCCTAATCGTACAATTCCTTGATCCACCTTACAACATGCTTGAATAAAAAAGAAGAGGAAAAGGAAGGGAAGAGAGAGCAGCGCCCCGCTTGTTCTCGGCCACCTGCACCACCCTCGCTCGCCGGCTGCCTGGGGGTCACCCTCGGTTGGTCGCATGAACCCACCGCAACAGGTCGGCGGCGGCGCCGCGAGGTCGTCGTCGTCACAACACTGGCCGCGTCTGTTGCAGCATGGGGTTGTTGCCGTCCCAGCATCATGTGGTCATCGTCACAACCCTGGCCGCATCCGTTGCAGCACGAGGTCGCCATTGTCCAGCATCGTGTGGCCGTTATAGCGTCACCGGCACGGGCGTAGCAACCTCGCCGGACGGTTGCATCCTCCCGTGGTGCCCGCCTTGCATCTTTGGTGGGTGTTGGTCCGTTATTGTACTGTTAGTTGGGCACCGGTCCGCAACCTCCCCCGGGGGTTGGTGCGGTGCCGGTTGTAGTAAACATGTGATCCTGATTGTACAAAACATGAAGCCGATTGTAGCAAAACATGAAGCCGGTTGTAGCAAAATGTAGCAAAAAATACTACGTCGACTGTAGCAAGGCGTGACACCCGTGGTAGCAACACACGATGTTAGTTGTAGCAATGCACGGTGTCGCTTGGACCAAGGCTGTCGTCCTAGCCCCCCGCAATCACCACGCTCGTCTTACATGGTCGTGGCTCCCCTAGACACTAGTTGGAGCTCTCACATCCATGGTTGCAACACCGGCAATCGATGGTCGCAACCTTTTGGTCGTAAGATGAGGAGAAGAGAGGAGGGGATGGCAGTAGGGCAGAAAGAAGGGGGGTGGGTACCGACCATGGCGGGTCACAGCACCGCAGGGCGGAAGGGAGAAGGTCGGCGGCAGCCACAACCACTGCATGGCAGAAACAAGGGAGGGCGCGTGGCCCGTCGCGGATCGCGTGTCTTCAATGGCAGCAACCACGACCACCAAGGGGGGGAGGTGATACAAAGGTTGGGCATGATGGGGAATAGATACAAAGATTCTTTTTTTTTTTTTTGAGTAATCAGATACAAAGAAATGAGGCAAAGTAGAACGAGAGGTTGACGCCATTTTGGTGAAGAGATAAGAAAAGGAAGGGGCAGGCGGTGCGAGAAGGGATAAGGTTGGGCCCGCATGAGAGGACGTTGCCTCGTGCACGAGGGCGACGTGCAGAGACACCGGCGCAGGTTCTAGCCGGTCACCCGGCGTGAAATATTTACCAAACTTTATAAAATAAAGGCACTTTAGCAAGGAATCCTCACATGCATTTTGCCTTTGGATTTTGCACTCACGCAACAATACTCAACAGTATCTGTTCCATAATAGGCTTTGGTTGTCGAGTATTTCACGAATCCATTGCAGATTACACCACATTCCTTTTTATTTTATTTTATTATGTAAGGGGTTCAAGTAATGTTGCCTCTCTCTGGAAATTGACATATAACCTTATTGTCAACATTCTTTGCCAGTAATACCACATGAGCAACAAAGTGGTGAAAACAACTAGTGTTACCGTCCCTCACGACCATCTTGGAGATGAGCTAGGCAAAATCATGACAATCTTCACAAACTCGCTGTCAAGAATTAGAGGGTTTGTGAAGATTGTCAGAATCTTGGAGACAACTTGTGGAGGCATGTCTTCGTCGGATCTCGTGGGATTCGATCCGTGCTTGTCTTTGGTGAATCTGTTTGAATCCGGTCTTTGTTCATCTTCGTTTGGATGTTTACATGTTTGATCCTTCTGATCTACGATTTTCTTCATCGATGATGGTTGCTGATCTCGTGTGTTGGTCATATGGGACCTTAGCACGGCGACTTTCCGACTGTTTACCACCGCAAGATTTGCCCGGTTCCGGTGAGGGAGGGGCGATAACGGTGGCGCGTCTTCAGCTCGCTACAGTGCTTGTAGTCGTCGCTAGGTGGTCCACGGACATGGTTGTAATTTTTATTACCTCTGTTGTTCTTTGTACTGCCATGATTGAAAATGAATAGATTGGAAGTTTCTCGCAAAAAAATAGAATGGATTAAGGTAACAATGTTGCATTCACCAAAAAAAATGATCATGAACCCTGATAAGTGCCACACATGTGACACGAACACATGTCAACTTCGAAAGGTTTTTTATGGCAAGTTTAGTTACACGAAGATGACAACTTACTTTTAGATGGCAAATTCCCGTATTTTTTTTAGATGGCAACATATTATTTTTTATTGTAAAAACTGTCAGGGACAGAATGCTTCGTGTCATACGTGTGACATTTATCATCTGGGATAATCATAGGCTGCACCCACCCAGAGACCGTAGACGTTTTGTTCTCCTCCGGCGAAGATTGGTGACCTGAAATGAAATTATGTTGGCTTGCTACTCGCAAAAAGAAATGTTGGCTTGCAACGTGTGAATATTCCTATGCAATCCCTAAAGCAGCTCGGAGACGCATCACGCTGCTCTTTCCTTAATTATCTTTTACCCCTTCTCGCAAAAAAAATATCTTTTACCCCCAAAAAGAAAGATAAACCAATAGATTTTGGGTTTGATTTAATCAAAAAGCGCCCATGGCCTAATGGATAAGGCGTCTGACTTCTAATCAGGCGATTGTGGGTTCGAGTCCCACTGGGCGTTTGTAATATTTGTTCCTTTTGCTTTTGCTTCTATTTTCCATTTCTCTCTGTATGTATACTTTTTCTGAACTCACTCTCTTGTGAGTTATTATTTTCTCTCTTAAATTCGAAGTGAACTTATTCCATTGGTTGTTCTACAGCGTATTGTTTTCCTCTGCTGAAATAACTGGCCTCACTCCCACTCCCACCACCACCGCTCCATTTTTCCCTTGAAAAACTGGCGTTGGCAAATCCTAGTGGCAGCATGCCACTTCCATGGAACCAGTTTCAGCCACAAGGACGCCAACATCACACCTTCGCGCCATGTTGCTCCATCGGTTCTAGAATGGTCTGATGACAACAGCCCTACCAGGCAAACTTAATGTAACTATTAGAGGTACTCCCTCACTCCCTCTGTAAAGTTTCTACACCTAGGAGCAAATGCTCCTGGTGTGAACAGTAAAATCAAAACAATTCAAAAAATTATGAATTTTTTTTGTGATGTACTTTTATAAATGTTTGTTGTGCATGCAAAATCACATTGGTGGAAGGTGTGGTAAAGAAACAAAATCGATGCTCTAAAAATGTTACTTACAAAAGAATTTTGAAGCTCTGATTTTATTTTTCTTCTGGCATAACTTCCACCAATGTGATTTCGCAATGAAACTTTGCATGCACATAACATTTGTGAAAGTACGTCAAGAAAAATAATTCAGATTTTTTTTGTGATTTTACTGTTCACACCAGGAGCATTTGCTCCTACTAGGTGTAGGAAGGTACTTCCGCGTTTAGATCACTTTACAGAGGGAGTACCATGCAACAACTATTGACATGAAAACTGCATTTATCATCAAACACAATTTTATTTCTTCGTACCAACACTTCTCTTTTTGGCAATCCAGCACATTAATTTTTAAAATACCCATAGAAGAAGATGCACGTTACAAGCTACTACTACATTATAATGCCTATTTTTTTTAACATGGGACAAAACAAGCATTCGTTCGCAAGAGCAAATTGCTGATATATCATGGTATACCTATCTTTTCATCAGGATTTTCTTTATTTATAACCATTTGCACATCGCCACTGCAGGGGAAATAGGACATCCATAAACACAACGAAGAACCAGAATGATGATTCTATCTTGAAACAGCTAGGAGGGGAGGAATGCGAGATGTCCAGGGCAAAATTTGCAAGTAGGCATGTTATTATGTTCCACGTGTATTTAATAATTAATACACGGCAAAATCAAAGCCTCTTCAACACGGCATCATTGCCGCCTAGAGCTCACCGGCGTGGTAGCCCTCACGCTCTAGCAGTAATCAGGCTGAATCCTTATGGGGGGTTTTCTCTGCTCAAAACCCATTGGGCTTGCTCCCGGTACCGGCCTTTGAAGATTTCTGCTGCTGGTCATGGTAGAATGCAGCATCCAGCGCCTGGAAATTATATAATCAGCTTGCTGAAAATTACTGAAAGAAGAATGGTATTCGTGTGTTTTATGACATCAACAGCAAGGAAGTAAGTATCCAATGAGCATGAAAACCAGCAAATGAGCATTCAATACAAATATTTGCTCTCACACATATGCTTCTGCTTTGCAAATATGGAAATGTATAGCTAAATCATGACAAAAGGTATAGGTGGATAGTTTTCTCCAAGTTTCAGATAATTCATTGGGTAATGTAATCAAGCACAACAGTAAGGAATGGTAGGAACCTGTGTCATGGGCTTTACGAGTTGAGATATTTCATGTCGTACATCAGGCTGTGCTGATTCCTTTATATCCTGCACGTATGAAGTTGCACACACGATGCGTATATACAAATATAATCAAAGGCAATTCAGTTATAATTAGATTCCAAATATCAACTGTGCTGAGGAAGACTAACCTGTAACTTCTGATATATCTGTGTCATTGCTTCCTTCAGCCGTTGAACCTGTGGAACAACCGGAGAAGTGCGTAAACATCTAAGCAATAATGGTCTGGATGTTTTAATTGTTTAAGATAGCTTACCATATAGCAGTCCTACCAGGTATCTAGATTATAAATTAGTGACAAAACCACAGAACATAGCCATCAATCTGGGCATCCTTGACTTACTATTACGCTGTATACACAAATATACCAATACTAGACTGTATAACACAATCCTAACATCTGCTATTTTTCAGTAATTGGTTCTGTTAACAGAATTAATGTAGTATGAGAAAAGCTAAAAACAAATTGGGTAGTTAAATGCAACATTTTGACAGCCAAAAATATAATAATAAAGGAGAAGAAGAACCTGGTGGTGGTTAATTTCCATAATTACTGATAGCAAGGAAAGAGACAACCATCATGTTGGCAACACATCAAACTCCACCACTAACATTATTAACTGATAATTTCTACTTGCTCTCTTATTAGTTATTATTCACATGTATAACATGCACTGGTATTGTTCTCATCTTGAAGCAGGAAACTACATTTCAGTAACCATTTGTTTAATCAAAAGTCACCCCGCCACTGAGCTACATTTAGCAACTTCCACCGAAATACTATTTGTGGGTTAGAAAATAGTACAGACAAGATAGGAGTGACAATACACCTTATTACTAAGGACTGTGGTTGTTATTGGGTATGATGACCAAAAATGGCGCAGCAACTCCTGGATAGCCGTCCAATGCTAACAAAATAGACAGTCACAATAAACTCTGTCAATACAAGATGTATAATAAGATCTCGAGTGCAGTGATAAGATGATTTTAGAATGGTCGGACAAATATACATAAATAAATAAATAAAGGTACATTAAGATAAGTCCGGAAAGAAAACATTCTAGAAAAAATTGGAAGTACAGTACAGCTTCTGGATAAAAGGTAAATAGGTGCAGTATCTCACATCCATAAGTTCCTCTCGTGTTCGGTGAGGAAGACGACCAAGGAGACTGTCTTGGGGATTCTTAAGATTAAGCCTCCGTGAACGTGAAATTCCTTCATTCAATTCGCTAAGAACCTAGGCCCATACCATGTAGGTAGTTAGGTTTTCCTGCTCATGCAATTTAATACCTTAAGAATAGAGAAGCCACAGCAATACAGCATCCAAAACGTGTGTTTGTAAGGGAAACTTGGAGTATTCAGGTAACTGGGAGTATTGGGATGTTGATGAAATGACAATCCAACATTAAGAATTGGAACAAAACAAACAAAGGTAAACCAGTTTCAAAATGGATATTGTTTCTTTTTTGGCAATGCAAAATTGTGGACCAGATAAGGTGTAAGTTAGTCATATATATAAAACAGTTACACAAACATCAACTTTTCTCATAGTAGAAGTGTTTGTAGCATTTAGAATGTCGGGCCTATCATTGTGTCCATAGAAATGGTTGGGAACTGATTGGTTAGTCCTATGCAAATTTTCTTCACTGGTTTTGGAAGAGCAAATTCTCTTCCAGTAAAATATGTACAGACACAGTGTTAGAGTACGTAATGGGCCTAATGGCCTGGGCTGGCGGGATAGCCCGTTAGTCTTAGGGTTAATTAGAGATAAGGATCGCTTGCTTAGGGGGTCAAGTAAGCCTTGCTTGGGAGTCAAGTAAACCTCTCTATATAAAGAGAGGAGATGTATCAATCTAATCAAGCAAGAATTAAGAAGGAAATCCCTTCCATCTTGCCCGGCCGTGGGCAGAAGGCCCCCTAAGCAAGGCTTACTTGACCCCTAAGCAAACGACCCTTATCTCTAATTAACCCTAAGACTAACGGGCTATACCTCCAGCCCAGGCCATTAGGCCCATTACGTACTCTAACACACAAAGAACCACCATCCCGTTTACAGAGGAAACAAGATTCACCTACACTGGATGAGGTAACCCCATGACAGAGGAAATGAAAGAGTAATAGACCAATGTGCAGAGGGGGGGAGGGGGGTTTAGTACACCAACAATTTTGCTTACGAGATAGTACTACTCCCTCCATTCCACCGAATAAGGCGCACACACATTCCAAATCCAACTTTAACCATAAATTAGACCAATAATATATAATTTTTATAACCTACAAATCATACCATTGGAAACTTCTTTCGAATACGAATTCAACGGTATAATTTTTGTTGCACATAACGCACATTTAGTTTGTCTAATTTATTGTTGAAGATCATTTTTTAAATGCATGCATGCTTTATTCATTGGAATGGAGGGAGTAAGTCAGATATATCTACAGACATGCATCTTTCAAGGAAACAGGACCTAATCCCCGTAAAGTTTATTATAGAACATTGGTATCAGGTTCAAGTAGAACTGCTTACCTTTAGAGCAACATCTGACTGAACAACAGGACAGTTCATTTTCACAGAAGATATTTGATCCATTAAATGACGGAATGCATCATCGGTGTTCAGGCTGCAGCTGCGGGCCTTTCTTCCATCGTTGCTACCTAAAGGTCTCAGAGCATTTGCTTGCTGAGAATCAAAATATTCTCGAGGATCCTATGAAGACAAGAAAGGCGTGAGAATCCATAATCTTGCGATATACTCCCTCCGTTCGGAATTACTTGTCTTGGAGATGGATGTATCTAGAACTAAAATACGTCTAGATACATCCATTTTTGCGACAAGTAATTCCAAACGGAGGGAGTATTACTGTAGTTGATACTCCCTCCGTCCCGAATTAGTTGTCTTAGATTTGTCTAGATATGGATGTATATAGACACGTTTTAGTGTTAGGTACATCCGTATCTAGACAAATCTAAGACAACTAATTTGGGACGGAGGTAATATATTATATCAAGCCATATGAACCAACTATTACCTTTATACAAAGTGGTGCATATGGGAGACTTCGTGGAGCTTGCAGATCCTCTATCTCAGTCATGCGGGCCACCTTTACCAATCTCTCATGACTAGCATCATCAGCAGCAGAGCTAGGAGGTGGTTCTGCAGTTCATAACTCATCAGCCTAGTAAGGAACTAATTAGGGTGAGAAAAGATGCACACAGCGATATAATTACTAACCCTTCTTGGACCTTGCAAGTGCTTCAGCCACAGTCTTCGTATCAGTTGATTCAATATCTGCAAAAAGACGCATAACACATACAATCACCTTACGCACTGAAACCATATGGTGCATTAATACTAAGTTATTAACAGCAATAAGCAAATGCAAAGTAGAAATGATTGGCATTCCTCTGATGTGAAGGGGAAAGTACACCAGCACGGAGAAGGTACTACACTAGAGCATTACAGTGTGCAACCAACCAGCAGTATAGGACGGTTGATTTGTGCAATTGTCGGTGCATTCTTTTTCAGGAAAGTGTTAGATAGACAAACAGGAAGCCAGTAGAAGTGTAGTCGCAGGAGAACTGTTAGGCTGTTAGCATATCAGTATCATCTCATAATAGTAATAGCATGCTTGACCAATCAACTTCAGTATACAAAAACTTAAAGAGACAGCATGAAAACTTTTGAGTTGAGTCCAAACTTCACCTGTTGATCTCCCTTCAAGAACAACAGCAGCATGCCGATTCAGATCCTGAGAAAGTGTTCTCCTAGCCAACTCGCTATCAATATCAGTTGTCTCTCTGCTGCCATCACGGAGAACCCCATGATCCTAGATGCCCGAAAGAATAATGATATGAATTTTTCAAAATAGGACTAAGCACTACATGAGGTTGTGATCAAAATAGCAGACAAAGTTGCTCATTATGAGAAACGGATAAACCACTTGTCTTTGTGAACTTGTAGATATAACAAAACAGTAGCAAGAACACAAACACACCGGAAGATGGATGTAGTCATCCCCTGCATCTGCCTCCATGTCTAATGTTGGATCAACTCGTTTTATCTGTAAACAATAATTGAGACATCAATATTTTTTGAAGGAAACTTGTATTGCAAAATATGCAGGATGCAACAATAAACAGCCAGAATTATACCTTGAGCTTTGCCTCCTTGGCAAGTATATCATCATTTTTCAAAAACATGGCTAATTCCTCATCATCAGCGGCTTCAGCTTTTGCCGCTAAAGTATTTTTTGTCCTAAGTAGATACTCAGCTCTACAGTATTTTGTCCAAAAATCCTTTTCTGACAACTTTTTGGGAGTCATGGGAGATGAAGGAAAAACAGAGCAAAATGAGAATCCAAATCCACTTTATGCCAACACAGATATAGTATAAACTAACTTCAACTTAAGCTCAAGCTTCCTAAAGCCTTGGTAAGGCACATGAAAATAGTATATACAAGTATGCACTATCTTACCTTCTTCGGGACATAATCCAAAAATGCCCGATGCACGGCTGGCTTTTCTGCAAAAATCTGCAAAACCGCAAATAATATATCATATTCATAACAACTGATTTTCAAGACTTATTCAACATCCAATAAACAATCTCGGAGTTTAGCATTGACATGGTTAATAATGTATGCCAGGTAAACTAGTATTACTGAGCAGATGTAGCCCAGCCCAAGGACCAGAATAAGCCTGTTCGACCGGGTCAAGAAATGCGGTCACGACGGTGTGGCCTCACTCATAGTAAAGTCATAGGTGGCTACCCATGTGAGTCAAAAGGGGCAATGTTCTTCACGACACTGATTATGAATGTGGCCCGATGAATCCAGGTCGATGACCCTAAGAGTCAGATAATACATCGATACAATCTAAATGTATTCAGAGAAGGGAATAAGGAAGAGAATGAGAAGGGAGTGGGCTGTGGGACTAGCTCACTTCCTCTCAATCTCTCTCTTCCACTCTGTCCTTGTCCCATTGCTATTGCATGGGGTCATGACCAGCAGCTTCCTGGTGGACAACCAGATCACAAGAATACAGGGTGCTCGACCTGACATCGTGAATAGGACAGTGACCTGCAATCCAAGTAACTATGTCCAGGACAGGCTTACAATGCCTGATAGTCTAGACAGGCCAATCCTGAGCATAGCTTCAATTATCCAGACTAATAGATGCAAGAATGCGTTTGAGTAGCCCACTCGAAGTTTTTGAACAGGTATAGCTAAACATAGTGGAATTTACATTTTTCATGCAGTAAAAATGGCATATTTAGATTTTCATGGCATAAAAATGGCTTGACAAGGGATCCTACCATTCTATATGTATGTCAAGTACTGAAGAAGAAAAGAAAAATAGAACTGTGTCATCACAAAGAGTTACAGTTTGTAAAATACCACCCAGTGAGGATGACGTGGAGTCTAGGACCATGTGTCAGTACATGACCCTAAGAAAACAAGTGAGGTGTTGCTCCTTACACAGAATGCAATAGGTGCTAATAAATAGTTGGTCAAGTGAAACCATTAAACAACACAACTGTTTAGAAATTCCATCAACCATAGCATTACACCTTTTTTAGGTACATAGCACGGCACATGACAGTTAAAAATATTGCAAATGATGCTACCAGGCAGACCAGCATTTAGATGAATGCATAGCTGCATTTATGATGGTTGAAGAAGTAGCAAATGATGCTAGCAGGTAGACCTGCTTTAGATGATAATTCATTACCAAGGTAGAAACAATGTACCTGATGGATAATCTCAGTAGTCAGACTGAAAGTAACCTTGTTTGTCTGTGGAAGGATACACATAAATCAGAAATGAGTAAATTAAGATAACCAACATTCAGTGAAGTCAATAAGTGATAGGATACAGCCATGTACTACATAAACTATCATAATTTGCCACATAGGCTTGCAATGACTATAGGCCCATAGCATACCTGTCCATCAGCTGATGGCCTAACATCAGCTAGCATGGCACTTTTGAAACCTGGCTTTTGTTTTGATGCTTTGTTTGTTTCATCGTCAAGTAAATTCTGCAGGACTTAAATAAGTATTGGTTGCAACGGAATAAGAATATACTACAAAACAAACAGAAATTGTATCCATGCACAGTAGTTTTTACCTTTCTTGTTGCCCAAAATTCAGACTCTTGCAGAATATTGCCAAGCACAAACTTCTTATGTAACTTCTGCAGTTCACTGCAAACAGAGAAGGTTCAACAAGACAATAATACAACAGAACTGTGTTCCTCTGGTTGGCTATGATAGTCTGAAACTCTGTCTGTATCATTCTCTTAAAACAAGATAGGAAGATTAAATGTTCATCCCTACAGCTACACAGATCTGTTAACCTAACAGCATCAACATGCTCCTGACGTGATCTATTAATAAAATATAACCGAATGACATTACACCAACAACGGTAGCATTTCGTCCAAAGCAAGTTCAGGTACGCTAGGAAATATATCTGAATGACATTCCCATACAAAAAATGGATAGGTGAAAACATTTTGGCATCTGCACTTTATTTTGGCTCTTTCAAAGTTCTACAGTTACAACACATAAAAGGCATATCATTTTCAATCTAGAAGCTATGCCACCAGCTTCATTATGTAATGTTGCGCAGATTTGTATGCTGATGAAACAGACCAGTAAAGACCAGTTAAAAGTGAAGCTTTAGTATCATCTTTGAATAAGTGAACCTACGAAAGCCAAATGCATACTTAACAAGAAAAAAAATAAGAATCAGGTAATCAATTGAAAAGCACAAGCACATAAGGGCTCAGCAAAAATTACTAAAGAGAGCAAGACAGCTTGCACTGTTGCAGTTTAGTATTAAATTATTATCAATGCCCCATGTTGCTGTCAGCAGAAGAATCATGCAGGGTGTTTGAAATACAGATATTACCTGTCTTCTCGTAGCAATTTCATCCGCCGTTCCATTTCGGCAGAACTGAGCTGTTCTGGACCAGTTGACACAGCTGATTTTTCTGGAGGTACATTTGTTCTAGCAGGCACAGTACCTTGATGTTTGCCTAAAACCCTAGCTGAAAGGACAACATCACCAGTTAGTTCTGTATTTTGTTGGCAATAATTGTGTAGACTAGAGGTGAAACTCACAATCAAAATATTGAAGCAAGGACCAAAAGTAACATTAAAAATGCATATACTCAGTCTAACAAGAATAATCATTTTCAAAAGATGTATTTGTTCATAATATGTGATCTATTTGATGGCAGAAAATGACATGCCTATTAGAAACATTTACTGAACATTACCTACAAAGTCGCGACACAAATCACGGTTACCAACATTGTCAAACTCAAAAATATAGCCTCCCCCCTGAAAAAAGCACAGAAATCACAATCTTCTCAGTCACAGAAATAAATGCAGAGCATACATATGCCTATCAACCAAAACTCAACAGGATGTTTATATTTAATTAATTGATCATACCTTGTCAGAATCTTTTGAAAGATTCAATAATGGCGGCGTTGGTTTGCTGCCATCTACCTTGTTAAACTTGTGGCCTGAAGCACATGTAGGAAGAAGCTACGAAGTTACCATCAAGCATATTGGTAATGACCATGAAATCAATTCTCATCAACCAACATGCATGGCCTACTCTGGCACAGCTGATGAGCTGAATATGTAATATTGGACGTATGTATTCTGAATATGTAATCTTGGATGTATATGTTCTCCATTCTGTTGAATCATTTCAAACAAACCCACAGCAAATCGCAAACCACACCTAGTAAATTCCCATCTATCTACAATTAAGTAGTTTCCTAACACATTAGAACAAGGAGAACAATGGCAGTACTTCAATTTTGTACAACCCTCAGTGCTATGATTATGAAACCAGCGCTGCATATGGACAAAGGACAAGCACCTTTGATGCTTCGGAAATCAACATTGAGCTTCATTAGTGAGCGTGGATCATTAGGGGTAAATATTAACTTGTCTTCACTCTGCAATTACAAGAACAAAGAAGCCCATTATGATCACTTGCAAGCAACGGTAAGATTGCATCAGCACCAAATATGAAAAATGAAAATACTAGGAACATCATACATAAACAATGCAATCACGAACCAAACAACTGCCTCAAGCGGATTTTTTATAGCATGTGTTGAGCCCCCAATTTCATTAAGCAAACTGGGTGTTCCTACTTGGGGCACAAATTGGCTCCCACTAAAGGCAAAGGAGGCACCACCGGGCTTGACACACAATCCTTTCACTCCAACCGCAATGCTAACTTACGGCGGATCAGACTTACTCTGTTCCACGACTAAACCCGAATGTTGGGTGCAGTATACATACAACAATGAGGAAAGCACAGGCACACGCACACGCACACGCACGCCGATCTAGTAAGCAGCAGCATGCTTCAATTTGTTCTGTTTTGCGTCCAATCAGAAACCTACTCTGGATCAATCAGTTGGTCACCTCAACACCGATAACCCCCTGCCGAGCAACCACGCCTCGACGACCGAGCAGCAAAAGCAATGCCGGCGCAAGCCAACCAAACAGAACCAAGGCCAACACAAAAGGGGGGTTTCGGATGGGAGGTGCGAATGGGGTGGGTGGGGAGCGGGCGAGCGAGGATGGGAACGCACCATGCGGAGGACGCCGCCGTGGCCGGGGTCCCTGAGCGTGGTCTTGTACTTGGCACCGATCGTCATGGTCCCCATCGCCTCCCCCTCCTCGCTCTCAACGGCGCAGGGAGAGGGCTAGGCGGCTATCTAGACAGGGATTCGCCCGCAAACCTCGGGAAAGTGACACCCGGATGGTCGCCTCGCCTCGCCTCGCCTCGCCGGCGCCGGTGCCGATAGGGTTGGTATCGATGTCGAGTTCGAAGGAGGGCTGTGCAGTCGGGGGCTGGAGTCGTTGCAGGGGCGGAACACGAGACGCTGCGGGGAGCTGGGACTCCGGCACAGGGAGGGAGTTAGGCGGCGGCGGCAGGAGATGCTGGTGGGAGGCGGCGGTGCTCGTCGGTCTGAGCGAGGGAGGGACGGCGAGGGGGAAAGGAGGCCGAGCGAACGTGTGGGTTTGCGGTGGCACTGGCCCGTAAATAAGAAGACAAGGCCGTGGCTAAAGCTAGGTCGCGTTTGGTTAGACCGAACTGATCGGGTTTTTTTTATAAGATTTTTTTTTTTGAAACGTAGGCTCAAGAAGAGCCTGATTTTGAATTAACGAAGCCATCAACCGGCTAGGATTACAATTCTGAAATACAACCACACTCCAACTAAAAGGAAAGAAAACAAACGGCAAAGATACAAGGGCGCCTAGGAGCAGCTCACAGAGGCAAACAACAAACTAGCTAGCTAGAAGATGGACATGGAACACAAAGCTAGAGATGTCAGGAACCCCATACACGCCGAGAACCAAGGCACAAAATGCTAAATGGCTCAGGAAAGAGCACCGACGACAGAGCAAAGCACGCCATTGCCAAACGCCTGGGCTTGAAGGAGACACATCCATCCAGATCCATCGTCACAGAAGGCCCCTGCCTCCTCGCCTGGCTCGAGGCGCCGCACCGATGAGCGATGGACATGCTCACCCTAGAACCTGCATGAATGGCATCGCATGCAACCACAGGGGCGGAACCAGGCGTTCCCAGCCTGCTGACGACGAATTACCAGAAACAAAGCAACGCCAAATGCAAGAGTCCGGGCATGAAACAGGGGCGAGCTGTCGGAATGCACAAAAGGGCAGCAGCAAGGCCCAAAACCAAGTCTTCAGCTCGCTCGAAGAGCAGAAGAGCAGCCACCGAAGGAGGGGAACCCTATCCCCTCCCGTCCTGGAGAATCCATGGGCGCCGGAGGAGCCCTGCAGCCCAACAAAGAGCACCAAACCAGCTTGACCACACGCCCAGGGGACACCGCCGCCGCTGGAGACACGCTGCCGCCGCTGACACACTCCACCTACACCATAACGAAGCCCACAATCCATCTTTGTTCCCACAACAGCGCCTTCAAGAAGGTTACGACGCCCTGGGCGTCGCCGCTGCCCAACAATGTTGTGGATTTCACTCGGGAGACAAAGGGGGTAGGGGGTAGGGGGCAGGACCTGACCGGCGCCTCCAGGAAGGTGAGCGGCGCCCGCGGGCGTGGCCGCCATCGCAGTCGACACGGCTGGCTAGGGGTTTCCTCCGATCCTGCAGCCTCGTCGCCCACTCCCACCCGCAGAAGACCGCAGTCCCATGACGAAACAGGGCGGATCTGAGGGGGGGCGCTCGTTGGGGAAGAAGGGGAATGGATGCGCTCGGTTGGGGAAGAAGAGGAATGGAGGCGGCCAAATCTGACGCATAACATTTTTATAAGATTATAAGAAGAAGAAAAAGGGTCTTCTGAAATGACAGAATCAGAACTGATTTTTTATTGAACCAGAAATTTAGTTGGGTTCCGGTTAAAAACTGAACTAGACTACATGATATGTAACACAATGCTGGAAAAAAAAGCAATTCTCTATTTTTTTAACACAATACGGACGCAAGCGCCCATACATACGCGCATACACTCACTCATATAAACGCACACACACCATATCCCTATGAGCACCTTCGAGAACTGAGCCGGCATATCATATTGAGCTGGTGGGCTGGGGATACCACTGTACCTCTAAACATCCAACCATAAGTTGGTTCGTGTTTTATTTTGTTTCTTTTCATGGTAACATGTGTCTTATTTATATGAAAAATGTACAATGTGTATGAGAAAAGTAGATCAAATAAACATTTAAAAATGTTATTCATGTTTTAGAAAATGGTAAATGTGCATGAAAATTGTTCCTTATATATTAAAAAATGTACAATGTGTATGAAAACAACTAGACATCAAAACATATATTGTAGAAAAAATGTTCATAATGTACTAAAAATGTTAAACTGGTATAAAAAATGTTCCTTATATTTATGAAAAATGCACAATGTAAATAAAAAGTAGAGGTTAAAACATATGTTTAGAAACATGTTAATCATATTGTAACACCATCGATGCGACTATATCTCACATGTGTCGAGGCACGACTTAGAGGCATAATCGCATTAAAGGCATATGTCGCAAGTTAGGCAATCTTCACAAACATCCCATGTAATATAATTAATAAAAGGGGAGATAACATAGTTGGCTTACACTCGTCACGTCAATCAAGTACATAAATAACATTACATCACCCAAACACTCATGGCCCGACTACGGCGCCAAAATAAAAGATAACCCAACATGCGACATGGTCCCGATCACCCCCAACAGGGCACCACTACTGATCATCAGGAAAGGAAACATAGTAACGTTGAGAGACCTCATTGAACTCCCACTTGAGCTCGAGCGCGTCACCTGGAGCGGAATCATCAGGCCCTGCATCTGGAGTAATAGTAATCTGTGAGCCACAGGGACTCAGCAATCTCGCACCCTCGCGATCAAGACTATTTAAGCTTAATAGGTAGGGTAAGGTAAAAATATGTGGAGCTGCAGCAAACGACTAGCATATATGGTGGCTAACTTATTCGCAAAAGAGAGCGAGAAGAGGAGGCAAAGCGCAAGCGAGAAACTAGAGGACAACCTGCGCAAACATTCCTCCAACACCGTGTCCACCTCCCGGACTCCGCCGAGAAGAGGCCATCACGGTAACACACTCAGTTGATTCATTTTAATTAAGTTAAGGTTCAAGTTATCTACAACCGAACATTAACAAATTCCCATCTGCCCATAACCGCGGGCACGGCTTTCGAAAGTTCAAATCCCTGCAGTGGAGTCCCAACTTAGCCCATGACAAGCTCTCACGGTCAATGAAGGAATAGACCTCCTCCTGAGACGTTCCGATCAGACTCGGTACCTCGGTTCTTCAAGACACTTCAACACGTTAAAACAAGACCAGCAATACCGCCCGAATGTGCCGACAAATCCCGATAGGAGCTGCACATATTTCGTTCTCAGGGCACACTCAGATGAGACTAGCTACGAGTAAAACCAACCCTCAAGTTGCCCCGAGGTGGCCCCGCAGGCAGCTCAATTCGGACCAACACTCAGAGGAGCACTGGCCCGGGGGGGTTTAAAATAAGATGACCCTTGAGTCCGCGAAACCCAAGGGAAAAGGCTAGGTGGCAAATGGTAAAACCAAGGTTGGGCATTGCTGGAAAATCTTTAATCAACGCGAACTATCAAGGGTTTCCATTATAACCCAACCGCGTAAGGAACGCAAAATCCGGGAACATAACACCGATATGACGGAAACTAGGGCGGCAAGAGTGGAACAAAACACTAGGCGAGAGGCCGAGCCTTCCACCCTTTACCAAGTATATAGATGCATTAAGATAACATGGCAATATAATGGTATCCCAACAAGTAAATAAATGTTCCAACAAGGAACGGTCTCCAATCTTCACCTGCAACTAGCAACGCTATAAGAGGGGCTGAGCAAAGCGGTAACATAGCCAATCAACGGTTTGCTAGGACATGGTGGGTTAGAGGTTTGACATGGCAATTTGAGAGGCTTGAAAGCAAATGGTAGGCATCGTAGCATTGGCATAGCAAAAGAGCGAGCAAACTAGCATAGCAAAGATAGTAGTGATCTCGAGGGTATGATCATCTTGCCTGCAAAGTTGTCAGAGTTGACTGGATCCTCGAAATCAAACTCAACGGGCTCCTCGTTACCGAACTCGTCTCCCGGCTCTACCCAAACAAGACAAACAAGCAACAAGGACACAATCAACCACGTGAAAGGATCAAACAATATGATGCTATGAAGATATGCTATGCGGGATGGGATGCGGGATGCATATGCAAGATGTGACAGGAAATGCATGGACCTAGACTCAACTTGGAAAACCAAGTGTGCCACTGGAAAGATGAGATGAAATCGCTTGAAAACGATATAAAGAACGCCGGAATCGGAGTTACGGTTTGGAAATGGCAAGCAATTCAAATATGACACCGATCTGCGATTTACAGCAAGTAGCCATCTAAATGCAATGAGATGATCATGTTACAGCACTCAAACATGACAACAAAATACATAGCAGGGATGCATTCAAGATGCTTAACAAAAGTCTAGCACTGAGCTACGGCCAATTCATCCATTAACAGGTTCAAACAAGCATGGCAAAAATGCATATGGTAAACAGATCTCAGACTTAGTGAAATTAACAATTGTCTAAAATTTCAGATCAGGTAGCACTCTTTGGAGCAACAAAACTACATGCTACAAGACCTGAACATGGCAAAGTAAATCATGGCATGGAGCTACTCAAAGAGCTTAACAAAAGTCCCTTAGTGACCTTGAGCCAAAAGGGATCAGAAAACACAATTGCAAGTATGTGAACATAGCAAAAACATAATCAGTTTTCAGACTTGGTGAAAAACTGGCACATGCTGAAACATAACTCAAGTAGGCATGTTTACGAGCTCGATGCACTCACTACGGAGCAAGTCATGAAAAGCTAAGCATACATCTATCAAAAACACACAAAATTCAAGCTAGAAATGGCAAGAACAATAGCATAGCATGCACGGATCAACTACAACATCATCGGCAAAATTGCAAACAAGTTGACAATTTGCCCGGATTCACAAAGTAGCAAAAGTAGAGCTCGATTGACTCAAGCTAGGGTGCTCCATAATTGCAAACAAAGACATGGATGGATAGATCACTACAAGGTTAACAAAACATCCTTACTGATCATCCTCAAAAG